GCACATGGTCGATGCAATCCTGTGGACCAGCGACGAAAAAGCCCTGTATTAAGCTTTCCATCACAGAAATTTGTAATCGATGTGCTGACCGATGGATATTTATCGACTAAGTAATAATCTTGCCCAACATCTGTAGTGTCGTGGGGGAATGATTTTTTTCACGTCAAATCTTTACCGAACCTAAACTGCTTGCTAACTGAAAAGCTGTGATGACGGAGATCATCTGCGATTGCGGCGACACCAAGTACTGATAACATAAAATTATATGTATATTTTTAATGTCTTCATGCAATATATTCTGAGTTATCCACTTTATTCTGGCCCGCGAATTAATAGGATACAATTTTAAACATGTTTTTGACGCCGCGAATTAAAAGGATACATTTAAAAATTAGCGTTCGAAAATAATAACTAATAGAAACCGCGAATTAATTGAGTTTTTACGGTACCACTGCAACATATGAACAGAATGCAGGTTTGGCCCACTGATAAGAAATATTTACAAAGCCATCTCACCCTCCAATGTTAACAAGTTTCTAGTTATACCATATACTAGTATTATAATATTTGTTATATTAATACAAAAATATAGTATATACAATACATATAAATGACAGAGGAGTGCCTCTGATCAAACTGACTTATTTTGCATATTTTGTTTATGTACTCTTCTATTTAAAAAGTGCTTCGAGTAGTGTACATACAGTATAGGAAAACATACTAATGAATTTAGGTATTTTAATATTGAAGTAATTTTATTGTGGATGTGAATACATTCTGAATAACTGTTTAGTTTAGCAAATTCAAGTGTTTCTGCTATGGTTTGAATGATACCTTCTTTCATGCACTTAGACATAGGTGATAATGTTTAAACCCATTGAAAGATAAGAACACTGCATGAATAATCAAAGTATTGGAAACCATGGAAACAACGATGAGGAACTCTGAGAAAAAGATGGATCCAGTATGATTACATGTAGCTCCCAAGAAGTACAATTCATGTCCTTGCTAGAGAGTACCGGTAGTACAATAGAAACACTTTCACTGAGATTACAAGTGTGTATAGTATTTTGCGAAAATAAATACATGTAGCTATGAAAAAACTAGCATTGTGTCATTCATGGTTATTGTAGTTTTTGATTCAATTTTTTTGTGGAGAAATAGCTAACCTCCATGCCAACAGTATTTACTCTATTGGAAGTGCACCTCTAATAGCAGTCCACATAAACCAAAAATTTGTTGTACATTTATTATTAAAATATGACTTTATTTTTTACCATAGATACATGTATGCACGGTCACTCGCATAAAAGCAAGCACTACTAATGGGACAAATACCATATTTAAGATATACACATGTACATGTATCCAAGATTTCATTCCATAAAAATGCTAATATAATTTTTCAACATGTATTTTTTTTAGAAAATACAGTACAGCTGACCTTGACACATATCATATGGCAAAAGATTATTGAAATAATTAAGTTAATTATCACATCACCAAGTTGCTAAAAATATACATGTACTATCAAAGTGTATAATGGCAAACCATAATATAGACATGTATATGCATAACACACCATGTGTAAGCTTGTTCATGTTTTGGCCTAACTGAAGAGACAGGGGTCCCTTAACACACTCGGAGAATAATGTTTGAAAGATCCATTATCCAGTATAAGTTAGTGTTTTCTCAGTAATTTATAATTTCAATAGGACCACATTGACAGCATTAGATTTGGTTCGTTTTGAAGATTGTGGATCAGTATTTTTGAAGGCACTTATCAGCTAATATTACACAGGAGTATATTATGATCGATGACATAATGCTTTGTGGGTGATGCTGTTATTGAGTGTGGGGCTAAGAAGGTGAGAGAGCAACATTGTATTGTACTAACCGTGTATCGTCGGCTTTTTTCGACAGAATCTACATTTACGTAGAACAGTGAAGTAACGCAATGTTGGCATAACTAAGAATAACCATCATGATGACCTTACGGCACCACACACACACGGCTGAATATACATGTATACCAGTAACGTGAGCTCACATAGAGATAGCAGTAACCAGTCGAAAAACAACAAAATGAACTGATTGCACACAAGTTTTTACCCAGTTTTGTAACTGTAATGTGACCGGATGAGAGGGCTAGCCAGCTCCCACGTTGGATAGATTACATTGCAGGGTCAGAGCAAACTATGTAAAGCATGCTGGCAGTATTAGGCCTCTTCTTGTCTGTAATAATTCTACTGGCTGATGAGCAAAGAACCAATTGGTGCATGGTATCATTTAGGTCATGCCATTCTAGCTGTGCTGTTGTCTAAGCAGGAAACAGCTGCACCCCAATAAATATGCAAATCATATACTGCTATAATTCAACTTGCACATTAATAACATAATATTAATAATTTCAATTTGAAATATGCATGTCATATAAAAATGAATTTTAGCATTAAATTTGATTCTGAAAATATTGGTGTTGTGTGTGCTAAAAGTTAACTGAAACAGTTTCTAATTTTTGGTAATTAAATTGGGTCTACCGTATTAGTTCTATTAGAAGTGCATATTCTATATTTTCATATTTTATTGATTTAGTATACAGCCAATTTGATGTTTGGTTTACATGAGCTCCTATTAGAGATGCGCTTCTAATAGAGAAAATACAGTATTTTATTTTTCACATGCTTTCAAGTATATTTTAAGATTCGGAATGCAATAACATTATTGGTATGAAAAGTTTCTTGACTTTACATACAATTTTGTTTGTGATGAAAACAAATAAGTCATTACTGTATACCTCAACACATAATTTTAGATTAGACAAGTCAGGGATCGCGTTAACCCCATATTTTGTTTCCCTGACTCAAATTATTGAAAAGGAACCCAGTTTTTCAGGCAGGCTGGGGTCCAATCTCTAATAAGGTTATCTAGGATAAAATTTCTATTTCTCAAAATTTTGGAAGTGGGACTCGTCTTGCCGAGACACAAGCGCAAACCCTGCAAGTAACTCTTAATATACACTTACAGGATTCTCTTTAGACTGGTTTTACTGTAACCCTATCGGTATTTTTATTCTATTATCGGTACACCACTCCTGCATAGTACAAGTACCATGAATTCTGAATCATCTAGACAGGAACCAGACCAAACATACCGACAGATTTGTCATCATATAACATAATGTAAGAACTATTTGTGGCATTCACAAAAAAAGAAGATGAGGACTAATTAAAAATTGAAAGCCATGTTTTCCATAAGTTTGGCAATGTTATTGAATTCTAGCTATGGGTCCATAGTTCTATTTGTGCCTATTGTCATCAACAATTGTGGCCCTTTTTCTACAAAGACTTTCCAACACTTTTTTTCCCAAAAAAATCATGCATCTCACAGAAAAAAGGCAACAAATAACAAGAATGGACATAAGTAGAGAGCTATGGACCCAAAGCTAATAGAATCAATGTTCCACCAATGTAAATCACAGTCCTATTAAAGCCCATGTAAATTGATCAAGATAAATGCACTAATTTAGTCATACCAAATTAATGTTACATCCAGATGCCCTTTATCAGTGATAAGAAAGGGGAGTCAAAGTTGTAGAATTGGAGAATACATTTTTACTCACACTTACAGATAGTGAAAACATTCCAAGTCGCACAAGTTTTCATTTTTGTGTTTACAATAGTTCATATGGGAAAAGAAGTTTATAAATATCCACACGCAGAAACTTTGTATGGTAACAGGGCAACAAAAAGCTGTTTTCTAATATGAATCCCTTATACGGTTATGCAATTTCAAAGACAAATTGTTATCATTACATTTAATACAAATACATGTAAATGCACCATACATGTTTTCAGTAAATAAAAAAAGATGAAGTGTCATAACAAAAATCACTAAGATTGTTATGATGTTTTGATAACCGATATGGGGTAGTTTTGTCTATGCCTGTTGTGTGACCATGACTTGTAAGGTAATGAATATTTCTCATCATACACAGCACGTTTACAATGCATGAAGATACATATGATACTTCTCAATTACATGTACTTTTCAATCAATCAAAACCACATATATATATATATATATACACACTGCCAATTGATCCAAAAGCCACTCCCAGTAGCACAGAGCAAACTGTAAATTGGAAACTGATTATAAATGATGTTTTACTTCAATATCAGATTTGAAAACCTTGCCACTAGAGGGCGATACCACACTGTAAGTACTGTAATTTAAATTTTTCATACATACAATGTACAACCTTCATATTAAACTCATCCGATACAGAGACATTATTACCATAAAATATTCATGGTTATCATGTTGGAAATGGGTCCCACATGACATGTACTGTACCAGTACAACTACATGTATTATGATATACACTCTCTAAACCAAATCTCCACACCTATACTAAAGTTACACTGTGTTTGTTTTATTAGAAGTGCATCTGTAATAGAAGTTCATATAAACCAAATATTGCAGTCATTGAAAAAAGGATATATGGCTTGATGTCACAAGAAATCAATAAATTCCAAGGCAAACAAATCAGATGATAAATCTGTTTGTCTAGTGGAGTTGTCATTTTGAATATAGTAAATCTTTTTGTGTGGTGGAGTTGTCATTTTGAATATAGTAAATCTTTTTGTGTGGTGCAGTGTTGTGACTTGTATATATTGGATGCCCCAGCGTATAAATGTTAAGGTCATGTCAGGGTTCTGAAGTCTCCAAATGAGCTTAGCATATTTAGTCCAAAATGGCAACTAATGTCATGGAACATTTTATAATTATTTGCCACATTTTGGAGTCTAAAACAGTAAATTTAACAGAAAACACTTAGGCCCTTAGTCTGAAATGATTTAACAAAATTAGGATACTTTGTAAAAAATACCAGTCAATTGCTGATGTCTGGTAAGCATCTGAATCACTGCATGTATATATAAGTAGAACCTAAAACACTGAACAGGATACACCATTAAAAACAAGATGTTAGGACCAACCTGAGGCAGCTTCCATCATGCGTATGGCTTTAGCCTTGGCAAGTTCTAATGCTGTCACCCATCTTTGTCTCTCTACCTCAGAGCTGGCTTTCAGATGAAATGTCTGTGCACCACTGGAAATGACAAAGTTGCAGGTATCTTCAGTATCAATATAAGCTCCAGCTAAGTTGATAGTTCCACGACAGGTATGTGCCATCTCAGCTTGGGTACTGAAATATAAAGATAACATAAATAAATGGCATTTTAATACAAATTATTATAGTTTTATTACTGATAGATATTCATATTCCTTTAAGTAAAGGTAAGTTAACAGGTACATGTACATGTAGTAATGGCTGCCTTTGGAGCCATAATCTGGTAAAAGTCTGAGGCACACATCTCTAGTAGAAGTAATCCTGTGTTATGGCACAAGAGGGAGTATTATAACACAAGCAGCCTCTCGGCTGAGATAGCTCCGCTGTTAGCAATGCACATTTCAATTAAAGAACATAAGATATCATTAGAAAATGAACAATATACATAGTATCAATGCAATGGGACTTGCTGTTTTCAATTCAAAAATATAATTTTTAACCATAAATGATTGTGGTTTTTAACAAGAAGAAAATATCACTTTTTACCAAAAATGACAAAAATATTCATCAAAATTAGAGAATTGAAGATATCATCATGAAATGAAAAAATTTGAGAGTGGTCCATATGTAGTATCTATATATGTAATATCAAAGCAATTGGACTTGCGGTTTTTAACAAGAAGTTGAAAATATCACTTTTTACCAAAAATGACAAAAATATTCACCAAAATTAGAGAATTAAAGATATCATCATGAAATGAACAAATCTGAGAGAGGTCTACCCAAGGTACATATACACCAAGTATCAAAGCATTCAGGCTTGTAGTTTTCAAGAAGAAGTCGAAAAAGTAAAACATTGACACGAACGACGCCGGACAATCACTCATATGATAAGCTCCGCACGACAAAGTCGACAGCGGAGCTAAAAATTATACTGCAATGTGGGAAATTTTTTCGAGATTTAATACAACTCTGTTTGCCATGAAGAGATGCAATCTAATGTAGATATCCAAGCTTTACATGTAATTACAACATATACATGTATGCAAGTCATTCAAACATTGGACATCATACATGACCACAATGACTAGATAAAGACAACACTAAATGAATTATTGGTTGAGCAAGCATTGCAAAAGATTGCACAACAAAAAACACTGTGTATAATTTAATGGTCATTTAGTGAAGTTTGAATTAAATACAGTTGGGACTTTTAAAATCAAAAGGTTGACCACTCCTGTCATTTTAATCAAATTACCATACTTAATTGGCAGACAAAGAAAGAGAAATAGGTAAACAGAAATTCATCTCCTGTACATGTACATGTACACATACACATATATTGAGAACAAGGAAACTATGTTTCTCTTGATTTGGGGGTACAAGATAAAATGATTTAAATCAAGAATATATTCATTCAATTATGAAATTTGAACACAAAAAACATAATTACGCTAAAAAGCAAATACCGTGTTGGTAAATTATCTACTCCAGTTTTTATATACAACAAAAGCTGCAATAGTAATAAATGTAGTTGCAAATCTTTATATTATTAGCATTTTTTTAGGTTACACATTTCTTTCTTTGTTCAGTAAAATTGAGCAATAATCCACCATTTGAATAAAGCACAATAAAAAGACAGAATTGATACATGTATCTCATCAATTTACCAGAACTCTCAGAGTACCGGTAGTCATTAAAAGGAATAAACTGAATCGGTTCATGTCAGGGACAATAAAAGTCTATTATATTCCCCATTGCAATGAAAAAAAATATGAAAGCATTTTTTCTTGTTATTAATCCAAGGCCTTTTCCTTTCAAAAGCTTGGTTTGGTCACTGTAATAATAAAAATTATATTTAATATTAATAATTTTCTTATTTTTAGCAGAAAATCTTTAGTATCACTCATTGTCCCACCGCAAAGAACAAAGTCTTTGAGACACAATTTGATTAGGCACACGTATACAGGCAAAAACTCATTTGGAAGGAACCACATGTATTGTAGAAATATACTTATATAGAAATATATAAAACATACTTTATAAGTCGGATATAAAACTATCAGGAAACGACTGTTATCAATTGAAGTGTACACATCTGGGCTGCATTGATATTACAATTATTACTCTTGTGATGGTGCCTATTCTTCTTCCGAGACTAATTTCTACAAGTTACTGTTTGGATAAATCACGAGATTGCAGCACTATGTAATTGTATACTAATTTCCTGATGAGAATTGCAACATGTGTACACAGCACTAGCACATTTTCATTGTAAGATCTTACAAGACTGTATATGCAATGCACACGTACACACAACGTATTCTCTCAAGTAACAAAAATGTGACCATACTGAAGTTATAATAAATTAATGATCCAGTACATAATGAATGCAATTTTTTTGTATTGTATTTGGTCTGTTAATGCAAGCACTAAGTATAAAAATAGATCATATTTATTGATTCAGTAAACAAGACAAGCAATTTTGGGTTTTTATGTGCTAATATTGGAGATGCGCTTTGATGGAGCTTATACTGGTATGCACACTTCTATTAGAGATGTATTTCTAATGGATCAAATACCATATGGTATGTCTCATGACATGTTTACACAAAGTAAAAGCAACTGGGTTAATGGAAATGTGGCAGATAAGGCTCTGGCAAATGTGTCAGTATGAAGTTTGAACAAAGTCCATTTTGAAAGAGAATATGAAATAAATGACACAATGTATAATGTAGTTGTGATTGTTATCATTTGCATTCAGCCATTTTTAACTCAATCTGAAAAAAACCATTATGGTCCCATTATATAAACATACACGTTTCAAAGTATGTAAATAGATATACAATAGCTGCCCATTGCAGAAATGCTCGATTTTGATGAATTTTTGAGATTAAAATAAACACCATTCTGCTATATTGAATTGGATTGTCTAACAAATTAAAATGCATTAATTTATGTGTGACATGATGTATGATTTACATTACATTATTGGTCATGGCATGTCGCTGGATCAGCTTCATTTACACAAAATGGCCGGCAGTTGACCAATTTAAATCTGATCTGGAAATAACAGGTCCCATAACGTCTAATGTGTGTACCAAGTTAGAACAAAATCTATGCATGTACGACTGAAATCTGGTTCTGGAATGGTGGAATGCTTGATTTTGATGAATTTCAACATTAAAATGACCATCATTCGGGCTTCTTGAATTGGATCATGAAATGAATGAACGTGCATATACATGTATATATTTCAAGGTTTATTATGTGTGAGTGAAGTTTGAATTTGAATGAGGAAGGAATGTTCGAGATACAGGTCCAGATGGGTGGATGGACGCATGCTCACACGAAAATCAATACATAGGCCTAAAAATGGACACACATTGACCATTTTGCTTGATTTGGGTGCATTTTAGCACTAAAATGGCCAGAAGTTGGCAATCTTCAATCAGTTCACAAAACAAATGCATAAAGCAAACAGTGTATGCAAGCCGAGAAAAGATTATGTATGATTAGTTTGAACTTCGTTGGAACACGAACTAATAAAAGTGAAAACTTAAAGGTACATATAGTACAATCTTGAAGGGGGATAACCAAAATGTTTATTCAAGCATCACAGTGAAAAAAGGTTCTGGCACCCATGTTTAATTTTCATTATCACATTACTGACAACCACAATGCAGTATTCTCCTACATAACACGAGTAATAATTTGTTATAGCAGTGGGTCGACAGAATAGAGCTAAGAGGTCACATGCTCGATTGATTGATTGTTTGTTGATGGTAAAAAATGTTTGTATACAATAATGATTTTAGTTTTTTTCATTTTGAGTTACTGCTGTTATTTTCTTGATTATCTTTTGTTTGCATTAATTTTCCGTCAGATTATTTACATCATCTGAATTACTGTTACATAATAGTGATGTACACGTTTGTGGCAACGATAACTAACACATACATGTACTAATAGTGAGTGAAATTTACATTTTGACAATTTTTTTAAAGGGGATGCTCGATTAAGTACATGTTTGTACCTCCCTCCTTGAAAATCAAGATTTTTGGAGATGAGGTTACTGGGTGCCAAATTGGTTAAATACATCACAATGCTTTAACATGTACAAGTACATGTATGCATTATTTATTCAAAATACATGTACTAGCAGATTTCACCTTGATAAAAATGGACAGATTAATTTAGTAATTTGCAATTAAACCATTGAAAGTAAGATTAAAAAAATTTTTGGGGGACATAGAGCTATTTTTAAACGTAAATTACTTAATAACGCTGGATTTATTTTGGGTTTTCAATATTTCCTCTATAACAGTGCAAGCCAGCGATGTTGCAAGTTTCTGATCAAATATTGATGTTATTTCCTGTGTTAGTAATGTTAGACAGGACACAAAACTTATGTACATGTTACTGTAATCACCAAGCGATGATTTATTATCTAATCAGACTTGATACAAACATTATTAGCAATATTATTGTTGCTATAATGCCACAAATAATCCATAAAACTGTCCATTATACACAATCAATTTTATTCTTATGCATGTCTACACCATTATGAATTAAGAAATTGAAACTCCACTGAATAAAGATATACATAAATCAACAATGAAAAAGAATGTTTATTTGGTTTAATTTCCAAAACTGAATAATTTCAGTATTTTGAGCTTATTCATTGCGTCTTGTCATTTTACATGCTCACATTGATTTGATTTTAAAAGGAGATTTCACTCATCAAAAATTACAACTCATTGAATAATTAATGCAATTCAGAATGAAATCATTTTGGGAAATATTCATACATGTACCATTGGCATATTGATGCGTAAGTGTACAATATAAAAATTGCTATTTTTGGAGAGAAAATATGAATATCAACCACTCAAATTAGGCATTCTTTGAAAGTGAAAATGGAGCACACAACCTTGAATGCTAGGAAGATGGGCATCATTCGGAAAGAACAATACAACCTTGTTATCAATATATGGCCTTTTTAATTTTATTCTTTTCTATGGAACTATATCAGGCTGTCAAATATAGCAGTCTCAATTCATTTGTAATGCACCCAATTTCCAACCAATTAGGAAGAGCAATTTTTCAAGAAAAGTCAAAAATAGGAGTTT